GGGCCGGGCCGGCCGCGAGCCGCCGCCCCCCGGCTCGTCCCGTGCGCGGCCCCCGCGAAACGCACGCGCGCGCGCGCGCCCTTCCCTCGCGCAGCCTCCGCCGTTTAGCGCGCCCCGCACGCCTCGACCTCGCCGAGGAAGTAGGACAAGCCCGGGAGGCGAGAGGGGCGCTCGCCGGCTCGTGCCGCGGCACCACAGTCCCCTCCCGGATAGAAGGGGCTCGCTTTTTCCCCGCATCCAGAAATGTTTCGCGGTCCTTTTTTGAGAAAGGTGGGCTTTAAAGCCCCCCCCCCCAGCTCTGCGTGTTTTAGAGGAACGCGGCAAGTTCCGCCCCGGGGAAAGTCTCGGGTGGCGAAGCGGGCCGGCGCGCGGACCACCGGGCGAGAGAAACGGGCCAGCGCGCGTCCGCCCCGAGGTCTGCCTCTTCGCACCTCCCCGGGAGGGCAGCCCGCGTGGGCGAGGGCAGCGCGTCCAGAGGCCGCCGGGCGCCCCCCCCCCCGCCCCCCGCGAGCAGCAGCGTGGCGAGGAAGACGCTTCCCAGAGATTTGGGGCTCCAGGTGGAAGGCGCGGGGCTGCAGCCCTGCAACACCCCTTCGACGCCCCCTGTTGCGCAAGAGGACCAAGATGGGGCAGGGCAGTGGGGCAGCACATAGGTCTGGACCACCTGCCGGCTCCAAGCTTCTGAGGGTGCTTGCGCAAGGGGCCGCCCGGAGAGCCAACCTCTCCCTGCCAAGGTGACCTCATCCTCCAGGACTGCAGCTCATGGGCAAGCCCTTGTGCCTCTCCTGCGCCACCTTCTGGCTGGGCAGGAGGCCCCCAGTGGGTGCCCAGCTGTGCCACGTGGCCTTCTCCAGAAATCAGCCCTGCTGGTTTTATTCATAGACCAGGCGGGAATCTTGAGCTGTCTGACTGGAGGGAGTGGTGCGAAGCAAACTACTTTGCATCAGTTAGGCAAGCTTAGGAGGCAGATCTTGGACTCAGGTTTGGAGGGGCCTTTTCAAAGGCAACCGGTAACAATGGAGGGGTGTGTTTTGTCTTCCCAAAGATTTCAGGACCGCTTGGCATCACTCAATCACCTCCTCGTTGAAGGGACTCCTGTAGATCAAACACTGCACTTGTGGCTCCGTCCACCTTTTTCCAGTCCCTTTTCCAGCCATTCACTCGTTTTCAGTCCCTGCAGTGCACCAGCCTAGACCCCAGATTCCCAGTATGTTTTCCTCCATTTCAGATGTTTAGGAAACACTGCTATATCTGCCCCTGGCTGAGCTGTTGTGACAACAGACCATTCATGCCTGCCATTTATTATCTATTTTGCATATTTCTCCCCCGCAAGAAACTCATAGCAGCTAACATAATCCTTCTCTGCTCAAATGTGTACTCACAACATCCCTAAGAGGTAGGTTATGCTGAGCACTGAATGACCTAAAGGCACTCAATGGCTACTCAAGACAAGAAGCTGGATCTCCCAAGTCCCAGTGCAACAATTCTAATCGCTATTCCAGTGGCTTGCGACCTCTCCACAGCCGGGGACCAGCAAAAACAAGAAAACCACCTCAGGGACCAGTGGCAGAAACAAGAAGCACCATACACATAATACAGCATTCTGTGGATTTGTTTCCAAACACAGTACCAACACAATGAAGATTCTCCAGAACAACCAGACACTGAGCAACAGAAATTATTATTATTATTATTATTATTATTATTATTATTATTAACATTTCTATGCCGCCCCTTGCCGAAACCTCGGGGCGGCTTACAACATGATAAAATACATTGAAATACAATAGAACATAATAAATTACCATTAAATAAAAAATACAAAAAATACATTGATTTACAAATATAAAATTAAAATTATCAGTATAAAATAAAAATATAGGAGGAGAAAGAGAAGGAAGAAGAAGTTGCCCTGGCCAGATCATATGTTTTAACAATTGAAATGATGTTTAAATAAAAAGGTCTTTACCTGGCGCCGAAAAACCAGTAACGACGGTGCCGGGCGGACCTCTTTGGGGAGTGAATTCCATAGGTTGGGCGCCACCGCAGAGAAAGCCCTCCTCTGGGTACTTACTCTCCTAATTTCTTTCATGGAGGGTTCCCGGAGAAGGGACTCTCCCGCAGATCTCAAAGGGCGGTCGGGCATATACGGATGTAAGCGCTCGTTCAGGTAGCCAGGACCCAAGCCGTTTAGGGCTTTATAGGTCATCACCAACACCTTGAATTGGGCCCGGGCTTCAATGGGAAGCCAGTGAAGCTGACAGAGGACTGGAGTCATGTGAGCATAACGCCCCGTCCCCGTCAGCAGCCTGGCAGCTCTATTTTGCACCTATTGGAGTGTTCAGACTGTCTTCAGGGGAAGCCCCACGTAAAGTGCAACAAAATGCTGCCATGACTGCAGTGCGTCTCCCAGCCAACTCTCCCCTCCCTGCCCCCCCCCGGCAGAACTGGTGCACCCCCCCATTGAACGTGATACCAAGCAAGGAGGAGTGGGTGGAGCATAGCACGGGTTCATTGACCAGTGGCTGCAAACCACTGTGCCACTATCGCCACAGCAGCTGTCTTCATTTTTTAACACCCCTTCCCCCGCACAACCAAAAAGGCAAATAACATCAACACACAAGTCACCTTAAAATACTATTGGGGTGGGGGGGTTGGCACGGCAAGAAACTCTGTAGACTTTGTTCTTATGCAAAACCCGGGTTTGTGGAATCGGGACATCAGGGTCCGCCAAGCAGAACCAGGTACAAAATAACTGGGGAGTCCCAGGTACCAACTGCCCTCTAAAAGTTGGTGTGCTGTATTTACAGACCTAAGCGTACCTCTGTGGTACCATAGATCAGAGAATCTAAGGCCACACTCTCAGAGTCTAAGATGGCACAAAGACCTGCTCAAAGGCAACCAATGATCCTTGCACTGGGCACATGTAGAAGATACAGGCTAAGAAACTAGCAAGAGACCAGCTATAGTGGTGTTGTTTGAAGCTGCTTATTTCCTATGCAGTTACAATTGTTAAACAAACCAGAGACAGAAACCCTAACCAATCTAGTGCAAAAGTCAACGCAAGATAAACCAGTAGATCCCAATCTGACCTCTCCCTGCCCTGTCCACTGGCTGCGTCGCTTTAGCCTACCAGGTGCGCGTTGAGCCAACCTCCTCGCTGTCTGTGTGGGCTGGGCGGCCAGTCCTGCCAAAGGCTGTTGCAGTCCACCACATGCCCTTAAAAGTAGGAGAGAAAAAAGGCCCATTAGAGCTAACGATTTCCCATCGATGTCTACAGCACCCATGTGATGGAGTGCGGTGTATGATCCTCTAGGACCAACACTGCTGGCAGTGAGAAGATGGATTAGCTGCCCTTCAAAGTGTTTCCCTATTTGCTGGCCTTGTATGATAAGTAGGGCTCAGCTTCTCCTCAGGGTAGAACCAAGGAGACTTCGATTGTCTTCCCGAACCAGTCATGGATATATGTTACAAAACTGTCATGCTGTATTAAATTCTCCAGTCCCCATCATCCACCTGCCATAGTATTCCTGCACAGAATTTCAGCTGTGAATGCTGAGGAAAAGTCCTCCTCCTTAGCCTGCAAAGAGAGGGGGATCCCCTTCTCCCTCTTCCCAGAACTGACAGAGCCGCGTGGGTCTGAGTTTGTATAAAATGGACCAGTGGAGAACTGGCCTTTTCCCAGTCACGCAGTTTCCATGGGCCTGCAGACTGTTTTTGCTGAGGGGGAGATTTGCACAAATGTGCCTCAGCATCAGTACCATTGCGGATAAGCACAAGAGGAACAAATTCCGATGATAAAATAATCCAGTTCTGCCGACGTGCAGATGACAGAATGAAGGATGACTGCCAATCCATGATACACAGATGGAAGAGATTTGATGAGACCCCCGCACCCCCATGTGGGGGATACATTTTTAATCTGTGCCTCACAGCTAGGTTTTATTTGGGTTTTTTAAAAATATAATACCCTAGTTTTAAACAATTCTATATTGTATTTTATGGTGTTAATTGTTGTGAACCACCCAGAGAGTTGTGGCTATTAGATAGGATAGATATGTAATCCATCAATTAAACGCAGACAATTTGCCAAGAGTGCACCCAGCGGTTTTCATTACAGCTCCAATCCAGTTAGCATCCTCTTTTTTTTTTTTTTTTAGTACTGATTGAAAGAACTAAAATTATGTGCTTTTTGGCAGTTCTAACTCAATCAGTGAAAAACACATCTCTAGAGTATTAGGGGTCAAAGTGTTAAAGAGAGTATGAAATCGTTTTTGCTTCCAAGCGTTTTATGGTAGAAGCATCACTGGATCAGCAAGAGGTAGGAGGAGAAATCCCAACCATGGCAAGGTTTTTCTCATTTGGATAATTTCCTCCTCTGGTTTCATTTTGAAATTGTTGTTCTTGGCAGAGTGAGTGACAGTTTAATGGAAGATGTCCAAAGAGCTTTAAAAGCATTTCTGCACATTGTTTAAAAAGAAGAGGTGAGATTATTCTCAGCAACACTTCAAATCTATTATCTATCTCTCTCTCTATCTTTCTATCTCTCTATCTCTCTATCTATCAAAAGCTTTTCTAACCCATCCACTACAAACATCTCAGGAGATTTCATGAATATAATATGCTTTTAAGAATCCCTCACTTTAAGTCCCTCATGTCCAAAATGCATACATCGGACAGAAAAGATTTAGTGCAGCCCTCTCACTAATATCTCAACTTGTTACATGAAGGGAACTTTTAGATATTTAGATTCCATTAGAAACTGCCTTCCTTATTGGATAGTATATATATTCATTGTAC